TGACACGAGGAAAAAAAAAAAAAAAAAGACAACTTAAAAGTTTGGCAGAAATTTTTTAAAAAAATTGATTTTGAGCCCTGAGGGGTCCTCTGAGGATACATTCAAGATTATAGGGTTTCTCTCCAGCAGTTCCATCACCTACAGAGAGGACATAAGAGAAAAAATAGTATTTAGGTTACAATGGAAGATACTCATGTGGGAAATGTACTACTCCTACTATTCTTCCTTCTGATGAGAAAAGGTATGGAACCTGTATACAGAACAAGAGCAGTCATTTGAACAGAGTAAGGAGACACTGCATGGTTTGAAATCAGGAAAGGTGTGTGTCAGGCTGTATCCTTTCACTGTACTTATTCAATCTATATACTGAGCAAATAATCTGAAAAGCTGGACTATATAAAGAAGGTGGTGGCATCAGGATTGGAGGAGAACTTATTAATAACTTACAATATGGAGATGATATAACTTTGCTTGCTAAAAGTGAAGAGGACTTGAAGTACTTACTGATGAAGATCAAAGACTACAGCCCTCAGTATGGATTATACCTCAACACAAAGAAAACAAAAATCCTCACAAGTGGACCAGTAAGTATAATCATGATAAATGGAGAAAATATTAAAGTTATCTGGGATTTCATTTTTCTTGGATTCACAATCAACACCCATAGAAGCAGCAGTCAATAAATCAAACAATGTACTGCATTGGGCAAATCTGCTACCCAAAACCCCTTTAAAGTGTTAAAAAACTAAGATGTCACTTTGAGGTCTAAGGTACATCTGACTCCAGCCACAGTATCTTCAAGTGCCTTGTTGTTGTTGTTGTTGTGTGCTGTTGAGTTGGATCCAACTCGTAGCAACCCCTCCTTGGGTTTCCGAGGCAGTATCACTACAGAAGTAGGTTGCCCAACCTTCCTTCCGAGGAGTGGCTGGTAGATTTGAACTGCCAGCCTTCTGCTTAGCAGTCAAGTGCCTTAGGCACTACGCTACCAGAGCTCCTTCAAATGCTTTATACACATGTAAAAGCTGGACAGTGAGTAAGAAAGACTGAAGAAGAGTTGATGGTTCTGAATTCTGGTGTTGATGAATACTGAATATACACCATGCACTGTCAGAACACAAATATATCTGTCTTAGGGAAAGTACAGCCAGAATGCTTCTTAGAAGCAAGGATGGCGAGACTTTGTCTTTTGCACTTTGGACATGCTATCAGGATGGACCAGGCCCTGGAGAAGGACAGCATGCTTGTAAAATAGAGGGCCAGTGAAAAGAGGGTCAGAGAGACGGATTGACACAGTGGCTGCAATCAATGGGATCAAAGACAGTATAATGATTGTGAGAATAATGAAGGACTGGGTAGTGCTTCATTCTGTGAATGAAACAGGGGTGCTGTGAGTTGGAGCCAACTTGATGGCAACCACATTTTTCTAAACATGGAAAACTAGTATTCATCCAGTCAATATACTCCAGGCATTTAGCTTTAAAGTGTTTAAGAAAATCCAAAGTATGGATTGACTTTACTACTTAGCTTTATTTTCAAACTTATAAATGAAATGACTGGTTGAAATTTCTCAAATAAAAAGTTCAGGAGTACCTTTCCTTTATAGTTCTACAATGTTTCTTTTCCCATCAAAGCATATGGGAATTATGAAGAGGGAAACTTACTCTGAAGTTAAAGAAGCCCACTTATCACACCTCTAGGCCTCTTTTTCCCCTTCAGATGACTGAAAAACTTTAAATATAGGCTAATACTGAAGGGACAAAGCCAAAGCAAAACCTATGCTAACTGACCTGCTGCTTTGGCTAAGAATTCTTTTCAAGACACAATCCTAGGGTCCAAAGGAATTGGAATTTCTATAGTTTCCTTACTGATCATGGGCTAATATTTTCAAAAAGAGGAGGAGGAGGAGGAGAAAAGACACAGAAAATACATGGTTTCAAAGGGCTATGCCAATAGAACACAGAATGGTCATGCCCTATGATTATCATTTTTGGATCGTCTGGGGGCTAAAACTTGGTGGAATTATTCTGAACATGTTCCTGTGCTTTTCTCCTTTCCATTAATGAGGCTCCATTTCAATATTAGGGCAAACAATACAATTTGTAGTCCAATGACCAAATTTTGACCTCTTGTGATGTGAATACTGTCAAAACCCAAGACAAGAAAACTAAACCTTAAAGAAGCTAGGTAAGCTTGGAAGTTCACAGTTACCAAAAATGAAAAATGCCTAAGACTACATTTTCAAAAGGTGGCTGACCACTGATTAATATAAGCCTCCTTTTTTTCTAGAAAGGTTGCTGCCAGCAATGGATTCTGAGTGTTAACATTTTTCCTTCTATGCTGCCACGTGGTGGCCATCTGTGGCATCTACACCTGTTTAACGAAAATGTTCTCCAATCTAGTATTTCAAGAGTAGAATTCGCAATTCTATCAAAATTAACATCCTGTGTTTCAACAGAGTCAGCAACACCTCTTGTTTTCTGGTTCCAGTAACATCACCACTATCCAATGCTAGTGATATCCTCAAGCAAAGATTCAGGCATTTTCAGGTCCTGAAGGAATCACCACAAACAGCAGTGGCCCCACACCTGACTCAATAAGAAGAACTACCAGGCCACCTTTATTGGGAAAGTATTCCTGCTGAGGGGGAGGCTTATTTATATCCATCACTGTCGTTTACTCAGTTTCCTTTATGACTAATTGTATGTGCTCATAGGGTGGATGGTGTGAATCAGTGGTCAAACAAATCAGTAAGTGGTTATTAAAGTCCAATCACAACCAGTTAAACTTCTTAGTTCTCACCAACAGCATGGAAGCAATGGAAAATTATGCACTGAAATTACAGCAATGCCATGAAAATAATGAAATAAAAAGACACACTATTTCCTAACCCCAACCCTCTGGCTGTTTCCCCAAGGGAAGTTAGAATATGGCTGACAAATAGAATGAACCTGAATTTTTTAACTGTGCGTGAACAAGAACACTAACTGGGATGGGAAAGATTACAGGTCAAAGGCCTGCTAGATACTTAACCCCCTCTTAGAAAACAAGGGCAGCGTGTGATCGCATAGCAACCAAACCCTGCGAGCTGAGTGGAAAACAATGATGTTTGGCTCAAAGATGGTGGCCAACCACACCACTTTGAATGTGTACATCGTTCTCCACAATCCTGGTAATAAATCAGTGTATGCATCAGGCTCCTGAAAGGGCTCATGACACCTCTTCTGAATCTCTAATTCCAAGGCTTCGACCTGTACCTTTTCCTGGCATTCTGGATCACCTAAATTTAAAAAAATTGGGTCTGTTCCGGTTTTGCTTTGTTGGCCTGAATTTTTACATGGTTGACAGCAGATGCTTCTGTTATTACTGGGTCTATACTGTTTCTGCAGATAACTAGCTATAGAATAATGTTGTTGTGAAGAGTTAGGGCTCTGATGTCAAACTGTCATCCCTGCTTTGCCATTTAGTGGCTATGCTTCAGTCTTCTTATCTGTAAAATGAGAGTAACAATAGTACCTACGCTGTCAGAGTCCCAAGGGTTGTGGTAGGAATTAAATCACTTAGATTAGCACTTGGTATTAGTATGAGCTCAAAACGTATAGGCTAAAACACATAAGTTGAAGCATGGGGGAAAAGCGTCAGTTTTTAAGCACAAATATGGAATATAGTATTTATTGAACACTCATAGTGAAAGATAAATAGTTCCTACCTGTAAAAGGTAAAACAGCTGCTGGTATGTTTCTAGTGTTTTTCTCCTTTCTTTACTCAAACTTTTGATTCCCTGGTTGTCAGTGTTATTCAATATTTGCATTTCTCCTCCTTTTTTCTTATTTAGCTTCTTGCTGTGGGAAATTACATCCTGTAAAAAAAAATTTATGAAATTATAACTTTTCCTCTGGTTCTCTTTTCGTTTTCCCTTCACAGATACCCAGGAACACACATAGTTGTAAAGACTAATTTTCCAGATTTTTCTTATAAAGAAATTAAGGGGGAGAGAATGTTAAACATATTAAGAAAATCTAGCTTGAAGATGAATTTGACTTTTGTAATACTTGTTCTCCAAGGCTGTACTCATTTGCTCTTAAGATGTTAACGAATGGCAAGATCATTCAATGGGGGAAAACAGTCATTTTCAGTGAGCAATGCTGAAACAAATGGATATTCATATGTGAAAGAACAAAGTTGGATCCCTTACCTCACACCACGTAAAAATTAACTCAAAATGGGTCACAGGCTTAAATGTAGGAGCTAAAACTATAAAACTTGTGAAAGAAAACAGAACATCTTTGTGACCCTGAATTGTTGCTGTTAGGTGCTGTCAAGGTGACTCTGACTCATAGTGACCCTATGTGACAAAGTGAATTGTCCCGTAGGGTTTTTTTTGGCTGTAATCTTTTCAGAAGCAGATCACTAGATCTTTCTTCCATAGAGCGCCCAGGTAGGATCAAGCTGCCAATGTTTCACTGCCTAACTGTTGCACCACCAGGGCTCCTAAAGGGATCTGCCTTAAGCTGGAACACATAAATCATACATCAAATAAGGGACTTGTACCTAGAATTTATAAAGAAATTGTATAACTCAACAATAAAAAGGCAAATCAATTTAAAAAATGGGCAGAAGATCTGACCATATGATTCAGCAATTTCACTCCTGGGTATATACTCAGAAGAAATGAAATAGGTGCTCAAATCAACACTTGTGCACAAAGGTCCCTGGGTGGTACAGATGGTCTGAACTCGGCTACTAACCCACAGGTTGTCTGCTTGCACACTCAGTGGCACCGAGGAAGATCCAGGCCTAGTGAGCGGCTTCCATAAAGATTATAGCACCTAACAACAACCAGCTTTGCAGCCTATGGAGTCTCCCAAAATTAATACACAAACAAACTAATGCCTCAACAAAAACTTGTATACAAGCGCTCACAGCAACACTATTCACTACAGCCAAAAGGCAGGAACAACCTAAATGCTCATCAACTTATGACTGGGTAAACAAAATGTGGTCTATCCATACAATGGGTGTGGACAGCCATAAAAATGAAGTACTGATACTTGCCGCAACATGGATAAACCTTGGAAACATTATTCTGAGTGAAAGAAGCCACATACAAAAGGTGGTCACATGTTGTATGATTCCGTTTATATCAAATCCAAAAAGACAAGACTTTAGAAATAGAAAATTATGGTTGCCAGGGGCTGGGGTAGGGAATTAGAGGATGACTGTTAATGAGGATGGGTTTTTATTATTTGTTATTATTATTATTATTGAAATATAATTCACATATCATAAAATTTACCCCTTTAAAAGTGTACAGTTCTGTGGTTCTTAGTATATTCACAAGTTACACAACCATCACCACTATCTAATTCTAGAACATTATCATTGGAGTTTCCTTCTGGGGTAGTCAAAAAGTTACAGAATTAGATAACAGCCGTGGTTACACATCTGTTGCCTCCCCAGGTTTTATTCTAAATTTAGAGAGGGACAATCTTGATGTATTTCTGTTCCTCTAATTGCGTGTGTAGGGAAGGAGAAGAAAATATTCTATTTATATATTCACAAAAAAACAAACAAACCCACAACAATCTTTCCCTTGTTTCATAAATATATGCAAAATGAAGAAGGAAAGTATACTTGCCACTGGACAGGGGTCAGAGGGAAGTCCAGGCAGTGGCTGCCTGCTACCTCTGTCTGAAAAGAATCCTCAGATATCACTGGAATAAGTCTGGCTTACAGTTCCAGGTAACCCCAGTTTTCCCTCTTCAAATAATGAGCGACATGAAAATCACACCCTCAAATACTAGGAATGTGTTGATCATCTTGATTTTAAATATACCAAACAAACAAACATACAAACAAAAAACCAAACTCACTGCCGTTGAGTCGTAGCCAACTCAGCGACCCCTCTGTGGGTTTGAACCGCGAGGCTTCTGGTTAGCAGTCAAATGCCTTAGGCACTATGCCACCAGTGCTCCCAGAGGAGGGGAAAATCGTATTACTTAAAAGCAGTACTTTCAGTGGAGGGTAGATCTGGAAGTGAGAATTGTTTGTTTTATTCCAGGTTTCCTTTTTAGGATAATGTTTTTTGACATACAAAGGAGAGGATGGGGGTGGCAGGCCAACTCTGACGCAGACTAAATTCCTTTGCATTAGAAATAGAGAGATTTGGTGAAGGAAAGTCAAGGAGAATAATCTAGGAGAAGAGAAAACAGCAGATTCAAATGCTGACCCCTTGAGGGGGAAGTATGTGTGTGGGGAGTCAGTGGCTGTGCAGATGATCAGAGCCCACCTGCTGGAGGAACAAAAAGCAGTGTAACCAAGGGGTAAACTCTTCATCCTTCTTCCCTGTGGAATTCTGCCTTGTTCACTAATGCCCTTGTGTGAATAGAGGTTGGCTCTGGGAAAACTGAAGGAGGGGACCAGATGCTAACCCAGATAGGGGTTACAGAGGAATATACTTTTTATTAATAGAAACTTAATTTCCCCTATTTTTGCTCATTAAGTATCAAACGTTTGAAGAATACTAATTTGAAAGAATATTTAGCTTGCTGAATATATTTCCACATCTCAATGTTACCCTGCTTGCCACCATCTTTTCCCTTCTCCAAAAAACAGTATCTGCATGCAGGTACTGAAAAAAAACAAACCAAACTTAGAGCCGTGGGAGTCAGAACCGACTCATAACAACCCCACCTTGGGTTCCTGAGTGTAGTGTAGTAAATTACTTAGTGTGGCTTTCTACCCATAAGTCTTTGTAAACTCCAAGGTGGGATTTTCTATGAGCAACTTGAGGAGCTCCTGATTGTAAATGTTATCCACGTGGTGTATTTCTGTTGCGTGTGGCACAATACAATGTTCTGGGAGGTTCCCACTCTCTCTCAGGTGCTTAGAGTTCTGATGCTGTTATTGGCTAGTTTGGCCACCCTGCCGGCCTCAAAAGGAGGCCTCCTAGAGGCAGAACTCTCTCTGACTGCTGGTTGATGAAGACATGCTGCTGAAAGAGACACGGGCTCCTGAGACATGTGTTGCTGGGAAAGAGACGCAAGAGACACACATCACTGAGTGAGACACCGAGGGACCAGAACTGCTGGGAAAGAGACTGTTGGCTGAGGGACGGTGGGCTGGGAGAGAGACTGAGCATTTTTTTTCCTGAACTTGAATTGTAGCCTGTTGCTTCCCTAATAAACCCCATAATCTGTGAGCTCTGTGTGGCCACTGCAGAAAATTATCGAACCCAGGAGAGAGGTGGTGGGTGCTTTGGGAGGAATGGTTGGTGAAAGGGCTGGAGGGAGGCAGCATGTCTGGCCTGGCAGGAATAGGCCTTGGGTTACTGCTGGTAATCCTGTCTTCCTCTTGTGGGATTAGAGGATGTCAGAACATGTGGCCTCCTTGCCGTTTTTGCACCGAGGCAGTATCACTACGGAAGCAGATTGCCCAACCTTCCTTCCAAGGAGGAATGGACTTTGGAGTCCTAAAGACATGAGTCCCTTTCAAAGCATATTTAGCTTTGTGACCTTCCACAGATTAAACCTCTCTAAACCTCAGTTTTCTAATCTATCAAGTGGGTTTAATAATAGAAAGCTTACACAGTTGCTGTGAAGATTAAAAACAATACATGTAAAGCACATAGCACATTTTCCAATGAAGAAAACATGGCTCAAAGAGGTCGAGGCTACATGCTAATAAAACCAGTCAAATAGTATTTAGTAATAAAATAAATCTCAATCTTGAGTTCACATTTGCAAAGATGTGGTTTTGTATGATATGTCACACTCATAAATGAGGTTTGGCACTGAGATTAAATATTACTTTTAGTTTCTATTTGGTCAGAATTGATGCTATGGCAACAAGTCTGAGTCTACACCACACTTTTGTCTTCCTTTTGCTGAAAGGCAAATTCTATTTCAGTTGTTTTGTCTTCCCTTTTCCAAGCTCTTCTTTTTGCCTAAAACCAATGTCAGCCACTTCACACACCCACTGACGTTGTGAAGTTTTAAGGAGGGAAGCCATTTTTTTTAATGCATTTTATTAAAATATAATTTATGTACAGTGTGAAATACACAAAACTAAAGTGACATGGGTCAGTGCTTTTTTTTTGGGGGGGTGGCAGTGTTCTTTCCTCTCCCCTCCCACCCCTGGTAACCAACAAAGAAAGTTTCCCTCCATATATAAACCTTTCCTTGACCCTCCACAACAACGAACTAATGCTATATTTGTCCTTCTGTGATTGACTTATTTCACTCAGCATAGCGCCCTCCAAGTTCATCCATATTATGTGGTGTTTTGCAGACTCCACATTATTCTTTAGTGCTGTATGTACCGTAGTTTAGTCATCCACTCTTCCGCTGATGGGCATGTAGGTTGTTTCCATCTTTTTGCTATTGTAAATAGTGCTGCGATGAACATGAGTGTGCATGTATCTGTTCCTGTCCTGGCTCTCACCTCTCTAGGATATATACCTAGTAATGGAATTGCTAGGTCAAATAGTATCTCCAATTCCAGCTTTCTAAGGAATCGCCATATTGCTTTCCACCGTGGTTGTATCACTTCACAGTCCCACCAGCAGCATATGAGAGTCCCAATCTCTCCACATCCCCATCAGCATTTGTTATTTTCTGTCTTGTTGAACCTTGTCATCAGTGCTGGGGTGAGATGGTATCTCATGTTGCTTTGATTTGCATCTCTCCGATGGCCAGTGACTGTGAGCATTTCTTCATGTATTAGCTGGCCACCTGAACATCCTCCTTGGTGAAGTTTATCTATATCTTCTGCCCATTTCTCAATTGGATTGTTAATTCCTTTGGTGTTGAGGTGTTGGAATTTTCTATAAATCTTAGAGATAAGTCCCTTGCCAGATAT